GTTAATCCACACCCTAAACCATTCCTCCTTTCTGAACCTAAACACTTTTGTGAGAGTTGTGAGGCCTTGCATACATATTTTCAAATTTTATCTCGGCAAAAAGTGTTAGGATTAAGGCTGGCAAGGAGAGGCTCTCTTGTAGATACCATCTTGCATTTTGAGCTTGGTACTAGGTTAGGAGTTTGGGAAAGGGTAGTGTTAAGTGGTTTGAGTTTCATTGTTTTTATCCTTTAAGAAGAAGAAGAAGAAGTATGGGAATGGTAGTGTGGGGAAAACAAGTTATTTTGTGGTTAAGTAATTAGGAAAATAGTGTTAAAGAAAAGAAGGTGCCAGAAACAACTATACTTACAAAGGTCATCCAAAAGGAGAAATCAGACCAAAGCAATTCACCAAAGGTGATGAGAATGGCGTCTAATCAACAAAAGAAGAGAAAGGTCCAAAAAGGAATCAACCACATAAGCAAAGAAGAAAGAGTTTTCCCACATATGAAGAAGAAAGAGATCAAGTGCTTTGGGAAAGGGTAGACTTAGGGATTTCACTTGGGGTTTAGAAGTTTTTAGGTTCATTTTTGGGTAAAAGGGTAGAAGAGAGTTTTAACTTGCATGTATAAGTATGCTTTTACCTTTAGAATTTTGCCTAAGATAGAATCATTTCATTGAGTGGTCCCTTGAGTATTTGAACCCTTACTTGAATGAGATCATTTTCATCTCATAACCATACCCTTAGACCAAATGTTTTCACTTGATATGCACAAACTTGATTCATTGGTTACATGTTCAATGAATGTTAAAGAGTTGATTGATTTGAGCATTTGTCTAATCTAAGATTTGAGATCACTTTGAAACTGGATGAGCATGGCTAAGCTCTTTAAAGTATGACTGATCATGATTTGCATCTTACAATTAGGCACTTGGACATTGATTTCACTTCTTTACCTTAGCATTTTTGGATTTGAGTGCCCATCTTTAAAACTCATCTCCTATTTGTCTTAGTTTGTTTGCTTGAAGGCAAGCAAAAGGCAAGTGTGGGGGTGTTGATATATCTCATATTTGCATCATTTAGGCTTGCATTTAGTTCATGTTTTTGTCTCCTTTTGCATGTTTTTCTATGCTTTTGTCCCATTTTCCTTTGTTTTTAGACTTAGGCTGCATTTAGATTGTAGTTTGCATTTTCTTTGCATAAGGAATGTTTTTAGGTACCTAAGGAGCCATTAAAGACAAGGAGGAAGCATGGGAATGATTCAGGGAGTTGCCCCAGCCAAGGAGGATCAGGAGAAGCTAAGGAAGTGGAGTTTTGGCCCAGCATCAAGCTTGATAGAGTCCACATCGTACGATGTAATGCACCCGAGAAGAAGAGAGTTCACATCGAGCATGCACATCAAGCAAGGCAGCTTGATGTCAAGCCACATGACACTCACTTCGAGCACTTACATCGAGCACTTTTATCGCACGACATAAGAGGGCAGGAGCTACCAAGATTTACATCGAGCATTAACATCGAGCCATTCTGCTCGATGTCAATTATCCGAGGGAGCAACATCAAGCACTCACATCGAGCTCTTAGCTTGATATCCACCTTTTCCGAACTGAAATTATTTACAAGAATGCCATTTCTTTAGGGTTTTGTTATTTATTATAAATACTCTTTAACCTAAGGTTTTTAGCAAGTCTAGTTCTTGCTTTTATCTAGTTTTCTCTCTTAATCACTTTGGTTTGTAAGAACAAGTTCCAACCTTTTTAATTTGAAATTCTGCATTTATCTTTCTTAATCTCTCTCCCTAATCATGACTAACTCCTTAATCCATGTTTATTTGATGGTTTTGATGATGATTAGTGAGTAGTTTTCTTATAGGTTCTTAGATGTTGTAGATTAGGGGAATTTAAGGCTTAATTAGGGTTTTTTAGTTCTTAATATTGATTGATTCCTCTCTATTAGACTGTTTTAGGCTAGATTTGTCTTGATCGCATGAATGTAGAATTAGGCTTTCTCCTATGCCCACCAAGTGTTTGATTTACTTGTCTTAGCTTAAGAGATTGATTGTCTAATAAGTATTTTGGCTTGAACAGAGTTAATTTAACCTGTTTCCTATTGATTCTAATGAGAGTTAGTTCTTGTTAGGATGTTTAGTAAAGTGTTATTTGCCAAGAGATTGGATTTAACTTGCTTGATTGTGAACTTTATGTCTAGGAATTAGCATTACTTGCTTGTTTGCATTGATGATGAGATTGACAACACCCTAGTCTTGCCTTTGAATTCCCCAAACTCAATAACCACATCTAGGAGCCTTGCTTTTATTATCTGAATTTCGAATTTGCCTTGCTCTGTTTTCTTGCTTGATCATTGCATAAGTATTGCTTTCATTAGTCTTGCTTAATCCTTGGTTCACTTAGTTGATTAGTTTAGTAGTTTAAACAACCTTCTTCTTGCTTTGGCTTGACTTAAGGCTTCTATTGTATTCCTAGTGGTATCTATCTTGGACCTTTGGATTGATAAAAACCTTATGCTATACTATAATGGCTAATACAAGCTTGGGTGATTGAGAAAGGGATTCAAAAATCCTGTATCACATTCATGGTCTCCAAGCTTCTTAGTGACAGTAGCCTGTACAGATTTTTGTGGAGCAGATTCTGGAAGAGACACTTTGTCTTCATTTAAATTTTTTTCTGTAGCCATAAGCTCATCATTGAGGGCTATTATTCTAGGAGGCAGCAATTGTGGTTTTTTGAGAGTTTGAAAACTCCTCTCAACCATCTTCATTAAATTAAGAAACAAAGCTTTATGCTCTGCTGCAATTTCTTTCTTAAACCTCCCTGGAAATAGAAGAGCAGGTTTGTAAGGTGGTGGAGGAATGTAGGGAGTTGCCTTCTCCTCGATGATCAGTTCATGCTTCTGCTCCCCCCCCCCCCCCCCCCCCCCCCCCCCCTTAACTTTTTTTGGACAGAGTATGGAGAAACATAGCCCTCACCATAGAGAAGTTATATCTGTATGACTTGGCATGACAACTCAAGAGATAGCTTTGCAGAATTCCTTGGGGTTTGCTTCAGGTTATCCAGGAATTTGAGCCAGAGACCTTGATGTAGTGGCAACGCCTTTGTTATTCGCCAAGTTATCAAACTTAAGGCTACGCTCTCCACGTTTGGTGTCAATCTTATTATGGACATCAGCAAACTTCTTGGCCATATCCATGGTTTGTGTTGCTTGACATTGGAGCAGCTGGTGTAGAATCCCTTTGATCTTAGAGATTTGGGCATTAAGGCTAAAAGCTTGTTTTTGTGGTGCAAAACCTGGAGGAGCAAAGGCTGGCATAAGCTGAAAACTGTTTTGATCCCCTTGATAGTTATTCTTGGGAAAAAATCCGTGTTGTTGTTTATAGAGAACAAAAGGCTTTTGTTGCATGTCTTGGCCTTGATAAGGGTAGACCTGGTCTTGAGGATTAGCAACATTGTTGCTTCTGTAGGACAAGTTGTGATTCATGTAGTTGGTAAAGTTATTGTAGCCTCCTTATCCTCCCAAGTAGTTAACTTCCTCAATGTGAACCTCTTAATCCTCTTGGGTCAGCACATATTCACCAACAAATTGGACCTCCTTTTGTTGCACCTGAAGCAGTTTGTCAAGCTTCTCATTGAGAGCTTTTATATCCTTCCTGTTATAGTCAAGCTCTTCTTTGGAGTTCATAGGAGCCCTATAATGTCTTCACCATAATTACCATCACTTTGAGCCAAGTTCTCAACAAGATCCAAACATTCTTCTACTTCTTTCCCAAGGAAATTTCCATTGCTCACTGTGTCAAGCAGCATTCTTATCTTAGGTAGGCATCCCCTGTAAAGAGTAGACAACAATGACTCATTGGAGAAGCCATGGCATGGGCATTGAAGAGTATATCCTTTGAACCTTTCCCATGCTTCGAAGAAGCTCTCTTGTGAATCCTGAGTAAATCCTGATATGAGGTTCATCAACCTTGCAGTTCTAGAATTAGAAAAGAACTTGCCAAGAATGCCTACTTGCATTGTTCCTACGAATTTATAGAACCTTGAGGTAGAGTCTTCTCCCATAGATGAGCCTTGTCACCCAAAGAGAATGAGAATAGCCTCAACTTGCAACCATGTTCAGACACACCATTAATATTGGTCATTGAGAAAATCCTAACTGATCTAGGTGATCAAGAGGATCTTCCAAAGGCAATCCATGGAATTTGTCTCATTGCACCATTGAAATCAGACTGCCTTTGATCTCAAAGTTATTGTTGGCAACAAAAGAAAAAATAATACAAAATGTTATGGCATGAGCATTAAGAGCATCTCCTGCACCAATCACTCTAACAGGCCTAGGAGCATGGACATAAATTCTTCCATTGGATTCTGGAACACCAGCCAAGCCTTGAGGTCCTTGTACTCCCTGAATACCCTAGGCACTAGCCATTCCTTATGGTCCTTGTGCACCAACAGCAGCATGTGGGACATCAATATTGACAGTCATTGTTATGCTTCTTCTCTGAATTCTGTCAATGTTATAAATCTGCATTAAAAATTGAAAACCACAATTATTTTGAAACAAAAAAATAAGTCTACAACGACAATTAAAAAGAAACAGATGGAGTATAATATATTTATCTACTGCGTTTGATTCTATAATAACTACATTCATTTTAGTGGATTCATACGCTTTTGATCAAAACATTACATTATTTTTGTTTGAATAATTCTTTAATTCATCATCATAATTTAACTTTTAGTTGTATTGAATAACTTCAATGTTTGAATTCGATTCGAGCACTGAAGTCAATTCATTATGAAAGTTGACTTTGTCGATGGCATTTGAATTTTTACTGCTTAATGGGCGGAATTTGTAGGCCGAAAATTATATATATATATATATATATATATATATATAATCAGATAATCAAATATAATATGCGAGTATGCGACAGTCATGTTTCTGTAAATTGTAAATTCCTGCGATTGAAATGCTCAGAGAACGCAAAGGGAGTCCATGTTTTGCACTCATCGGACAAGAATCTGAGTCTTAGCAGCGACTCGGGAGCATTTTTTCCGGCCAGATTTGCTGAGACCACAAATGCAGATATCCAGAAGTTCGTAATCTTCTTCCCAGAACAACAGCGACGCCATCTCCGGATTTGCCAGGAGGAGTTTAGAAGTCAAGAATCCGGCCACCGTCCATGTCTGGTAAAGCCGGGACTGCTTCCCAATAAACTTCCCCGCTCGCGTGTCGTAATACTCCGGCCAACGATCTGCCATAAGTCTCTTCTCAGCCAGTGCAAGCGCTTTCTCAGCTAGCTCTGGTCTACCCATCTTCATACATGCTAATGTGAACTGTTATGTAAATCAAACACATAGAAATACCCTATTAGAAAACCATAAATCCTCAAGATGTTACCAATGAAAACTCTAAAACTGTAACCAGATGATTTTTGTGGTCTCAGTGGCAGTATCTAGCAACTTTGAACCATATATGCAAGTTTGAGGATCATACATGCTTGTAAATTGTTATGTAAATCAAACACATAAAAGCCTATTAGAAAACCAGAAAGATGTTACCGATGAAAACTCTTGAAACTGTAACCAGATGATATTTTGTGATCACAGTGGCAGTTTCCAGGAAATTTGAACCATTTATACATGTTTGAGGATTAAACATAATATATAATTCCCAAAACAATCTGCATACCTGCCATAGAAGCGTTGGCCAGGATCCACTGTTGTGATAAGACCAAGGTCTGCAATGTTTATCAAAGTGTTTTCAGAGTTTGGTTCAACCAAAAAAGTTAAGGGAAAACAAATTAAAGTGTCCACAAGCCTTGGAGAAAGTTAAAGACTAGGTAAAACTCACGTGTTCTTTGGGTCACTTCCGGTGATTATACGCCAATCCTCATACTCTAAGGCAGGGTAACAAATCTTAAGAGGCATATTCCCAATGATATCATCCCATTTAGCTTCCATCAAGTTCAATATAGCTTCGTTCTGCTTCGGTGTACTCAGTGAGGAAACAACAGACCAAAAGTTCCCGAGCGTGAAGAATCTGAAATCCATGTGCGCGGGCTGTAGGTTCCCGAGGAGATAACCTCCTTGCTCGGGGATCCAGTCCATGAGCCATGGAGGAATTTGCTCAGGGTAGATGTTGAACTTGTTAGTAGCGTCTGTGGAATACTCTTCTGTCTTGTAACGATATATCTCATTGATTTTTCTAATATCCACCCAGTAGTACTCTCTGATATGAAAGGATAAAGCACTTAATCTATTGTTAATAGCCCTTACAAGATTCTTGGAGCTGTCATTCCCAGTAAGCATCTCACGGGAGCATCTTAATGCTGAGTAGAATAACGACTGCAATATATCCAGAGAGAAAATCATTTGTAAACATTTATGTATCAAGCTGTAAAGAGACAACCAGACAAAGAATTGGTGCTGAACATACTTGGATTTCGAGGGGATGGCCATGGATACCCATTCGACGATCAATCATACAAGAACCGTCGGTGACCAGTAGTGTTGGAAACATATCAAATCCATCCGCTAAACACAAGTTCATTATGAGCTTTATGCCTGTCTGAACATCTATCCTCTCTTGTAATGAGAAATCCCCTGTCAACTTTCCATATGCCCTTAAGAGAATAATCCACCACAAACCTATATAGGATGAAAGAAACAATCAGCAAATCCACATAGCTATCCCAGTGACAACTCTCAAAGTTTACTCAATCGCATATGCATGTATATAACAACCAAAGGGAATCTACTGACCAGAATCTACAGGAGCAACACGACCAATGGCTGATTCACCAAAATCTGGATCCAAAACCTCTTCCGTAGTGTGCTCATCAAGTACCACGGTTCTGACTTTGAAACTTGCAGGCATCAAGCCCTGTCCTGGACTGTAGCAGTCTACGGTTTTCTCCCAGCTCTTAAAAACAAAACAAAGGTCCATCAATAACAAACTCCACATACCACTTGTAAAAGATAACCTAATTCATCACAATCTACTAGAATTCCGCTGCGCGTTTCCTTTTACATTTGATCAATAGCAAACCATAATACAGATATAATCAAAAACAAAATTACCCTCCATACCAAATTAGCTGATTCAAACCATACAGACCATAACCACTATGCAATGTAAATGTTCAGATTATGTCACTTCTAGAACATAAATGAGTTATTTAAAATGCTCCAACTACGATGACATGTATACCAAATTAGTTGAGTCAACCCATAGAAACATAATCACTATACATTCTAATTCCTCAGATTCTATTCTTGTAGAACATCAATGAGACATTCACATTCAAAATGCTCTGATTATGATGATATATACATTTCATGTAACTTATAACATACGAATTTTTCATTACTATCAACTGAGATTCCACTTGCTAAACCAGAAATTAGTTGATTCAATCCATTGAAACCATAACCAATATACATTCAAAATGTTCAGTTTATTGTCTCTCCAATAAAATCAATAAGACATTCACATTCAAAATGCTTCAATTGTGATGACAGTTATACATACCTGTAACTGTAATGTATGGAGGAGAAAGTTCCTAACGATATCTCCATCTCCTTTAAGCAAGAAAGCCAAAGCAGAAGGCACAAAGTCTCTTATAAACACTTGATCATAATTCAAAGGTAACTTATCTCCGGGATCGTTTGCCGCCACCGTCCCCACCGGAGAACCACAATACCTAACGACGGCGTCTTCCAGAATCCTCCACGCTTCCTTCTCAGCCTCACTCTCTTCTCTAACTTTCACACGATTACTTTCAACACTTTCGCCTTCGGATTTCTCAATCTTGTTTATCTCCACTCTAGAAACTGATTCGCTTACGGGTTCTTCGTCTTTGTGTATCCTTTCGATAACCAATGGATTCGAATTTAGACCAGCCTGAACATGAATTCTCTCGAAGCTCTTGTCGCTGGTATTTGTTTCTACGGATGTTGAAAATTCTCTTAAAGACGCGACGATACTTCTTGATTTCTCGGAAACCCAACTCGATTGGCGAAAACACGAAACTGGAGTAGACATTAAACTCTGGGTGTTGTTGAAAGGTGTAGGAAAGTTTCGGATAGTGCTTGAGTAGGTGCGAGTTATGGCGTTTCGCGCTAAATCTGGAGGTACACCCATGGAGAAACTGGAAAACAAGAGGCTTCTATGAAATCGAGAAGGAGGCTTCATAGAAAACTTGCGGAGCAGATAGATTGCGCTCATGGTTAGAGACGAGAATTTTCCGAAAAGCAAACAAAAATCTGGAATCTGAAGAATTCGTAGAAGAAGGAAAAATGGAGAAATGAATCAAAAGAATTGGGCTTCGATCGATTGGCGTCGGAGCAGATGCTATGGAAAGAAGAACATAATTTGGAATTGAGAATATTCAATTGGGAAAATATTGGGAATAGAGGAAAGACGACGGGGTGTGAGTTCACTATTATACCCTCGCATTGTACTTGGGTGGGGGGATGGGTTCTTTTTGTTTTTTGTTTGCTTTACTTTTTAGTCACGTTTAGTGAAACGATGAAAATCCAATCGAGCGCTTAGATTGGGCTTACCGTCTAACAAAATAAAAGAACTTAAAGAGAATTAAGAGCTACATTCAACAGATTGACAGTATAAGCTAACATTAACTAAAATAAAAATTTCAGAATAAAACGGTTACCAAAATTTTTAAGAAAGAGATGAACGGAAAAGAGCTCTGAGAGCAGTTACAGAGTTTTCGAGTTCAAAAGTGTAGAAGAAGATAAAGTCGAAGGTCCCGAAGAAGAGAGAGATATCTCCTAAAACTTGGCAGTTTGTGTCCTTTATATAGCTCGTCTCGTCGAGCTTCAACCTCCAGCGCGTATCTCGGCCATGTGCAGTAGCTTCAGTCGGAAATATCGGCCACATGCAATAGCTTCAACCAGAAATCTTGGCCACGTGCAGCAGCTTCTCCCGGAAATCTCAGGCTCGTTTGAACTGATGAGAATATGCTCTGATTTAGTCCAGATTCTTCCTTATTCTTCGGGACGAGTTCGAGCTAGAGCTCGACCTCGACGAACGGAACACTGCTTGTCAGATTTGGACCATTGTGAGTGATTGGATCTGGGTCGTATAGATGAAGCCCAGTCAACTGAACTTAGTTTTAGGATATTGTTGTTGGGCTTAAATGGGCCGGATTTGTGGTGACAAATCCTGCTCCAACAATTGCCCCCCAGCCCATTAATGAGAACGAGTTCAAGCTTTAATGGGCGGCGAGTGGTTTCTTTTTAGAAGATTTCGTATCTCGCGTGTTGTCGTCATGATGGTAAGTAATCATTAAGGATCAACGGTCGAGGCTATAAGAGATGAAGGATCCATCAGATCATACGGTTGAGGTCGATCTCCAAGATCATAGCTTGAACGACAAGATCTGGTGGTTGTTATCCTTTGTTTCGAACTTATCTTAGCCCGGAAGGCCTTTATTTTGGAAAAATTCGGGCGTTGGTGCCTTTGAATTATTTCCACCTCTTGCTTTCGGTTAATCGAGTAGAACTTTTGCCTAGTCATTTGTTGACTTAGGAGAGTTGAACCAAAGTCATCAAGCTCATAGCTCTATTTATTGGTCGTGAGCTCGTAGCTCGATTCGTTAGTCATGAGCTCGTAGCTCGATCCGTTAGGTCAGATGACATGATTTCGTAGCAAAGTGCGACTTGTTCCTTCGTTGAAATATGGCTAAGTGTTTAAGCTACGCTTAGTTGATTTCCTTAGGAAAGAAGGAAGGTTGAACTGCTTCGCGATGAAGTATTCGTATTCGAGGCAGGGTTTTTCTAAGTTGTTTGGTGACTTAGGGAAACGAACTAGAGTTACCGAGCTCGAAGCTCAGTTTGCTAGTCGTGAGCTCGATGTTCGAGCCGTTAGCTGCGAGTTCATTGCTCAATTTATTAGACTGGACAGAACGATTAAGTCATGGAATATGACCCGTTTATTCTGAAAAAAGTGGCTAAGTTTTTAGCTCGACTTTTGTTTAGAAAGATCGAACTGCTTCGCGATGAAGTTTTGGTGTTCGAGGTGGAGTTTGTTTTCCTTTGAACAAGGAGTTTCTCAGTTTTGGCGTTGAGATGGAGAAGGGGGTTCGATTTTACTCTTAGTTTTTTTTATCCCCCCCCCCCCCCCCCCCCCCCCCCCCCCCCCCCCCCCCCCCCCCCCCCCCCCCCGCCGAAGAAGTGAGCTAAGTGTGGGCTGTAGCTCGCTTGTAGCCGAGGTGTGGGAGGGTGGGTGACCTTGACTTCAAGATCGAGCTATGGAGCTCGAGTTTGACAATGGATGCATTGTGTTTCAGCTAATAAATATATGACGAGGGTGGTCCGAACTATTTTAGCTCGTGATCTCGGTTTGGACAATTATAATTGTTGCTGAAAAGCGAGTTAATATTCCAAGTGAAGATGAAAAAGAGAGAGATGATACAAACTAGGGTCATAGCGTACAGCTCGCCTAGTAATGTTGTCACGCTGAGGAATTGATATTTGAAAAAAGATGGTGGCTGAACTCGTGGGTCGAGCTACCTATGTACTTTGTAAGGGATCAAGCCATGACGTAGTTCGATTGTTTTAAATGCTTTAGCGATAATACCTCTTGAGGTTCGTTACGTTCCAAGGTCTTATCCGGGCACCGTAAATTACTTTGGTGATGCGATAGGGACCTTCCCAGTTGGTTCCTAGTTTTCCAGCACCATGCTTTTTGGTGTAATCTTGTACCTTGCGCAGGACCAGATCTCCTACGTTGAATCTTCAGTGTTTAACCTTGGAGTTGTAGTAGCCAGCTGCGGCCTGCTGGTAATTTGGAATCCTGATCAATGCCTGATCTCGATGTTTGTCGATCAGATCGAGCTGGTCACTTAATAACTGTTCGTTGAGTTTGGTGTTTGTCGAGCACAGGGCCCGACGGAGAGTCGGAACTGCAGTTTCAGTCGGGATCACAGATTCCAGCCCGTAAGATAGTGAGAACGGTGTTTCGCTGGTTGCTTTGTAAAGTGTGGTTCGACAAGCCCAAAGTATGGCCGAGATATGTTCGGACCACCTTTCTTTTTTGGCGTCGAGCCGTCTCTTGAGATTGCTCAAGATGGTTTTGTTTGTTGCTTTAGCTTGCCCGTTTTCTTGAGGATAAAGAGGTGTGAAGTAAGAGATTTTTATCTTCCACTTTGCGCAGAAGTTTTTGAAGTTTCGCGATATGAACTGCGAACCGTTTTCCGTTACGATTTCATATGGGAGCCCGTGACGGCAAATCACGTTTTTCCAGATGAAGCCGCGTACCTGGAGCTCGGTTGTTTGCTGATAAGCTTAAGCTTCTATCCACTTGGTGAAGTAATCAGTGAGCACTAGCAGGTACCTGAATTGCTTGTCCATTGACCACCTGAATGGATAAGGTGCCGAGATTGACGATAATCTTTCTGCTGGATAGTGAATGAACGGGGCATGCCTCTGACATTTGTCGCAGCTCTTAGACAGTCTCTGACAGTCCGCTATTATGGTTGGTCAGAAGTAGCCAGGTTTCTTAATTCAAATGACGAGCACTCGACCTCCAGCATGACTTCTGCAGGGGCTTTGGTGAGTGTCAGACATTACGGTATAGGCCTCCTCACCGTGTACGCATTTAAGGTATGGTTCGGATAGACCTTGCTTGTACAGCTTATCGTTGAATAACACGCTATAGCGGACACTTTTGACCTTGAGCTTTCGAGCTTCCCACTTGTTAGCGGGAGCTATTCTATATATGATGTACTCGAGGATGGGTATCCTCCAGTCCGCCCTGGCGATGAATTCGTCCTGGAAGGTCAATTCATCTTCGAGTGCAGTTTGTACTGTATGGATTGTTGATTCCTGACTATTTTGTGAGGAGGTCGGGTTTGACTCCGCATTTTCTGGTGGAGGATTAGCTGGCCCATCCTCGTCGGGATTGTCAGCTGTGTTGGATGGTCCTAGATCTTGGGACTGTTGCGTTAGTGGCCGGGTTGATGGTCGCGTGGTAATTACGCTCACAGTCAGAGTTTTGAGTGCTAGATCTATGCTAGATTCCTCAATTCTTTCGACTGGAATTATTCGCTTTATCGCTGGGTCCGAGGTGGAAGCTAGAGCTGCTAAAGCGTCTACTGCCATATTTTCACCTCAGGGTATGTGGACAAGCTCGAAACGAGTGAACTGTTCCGCGAGGCTGCGAAATTTGGTTAAGTAGGCTTCCATGCGTTCCTCTCTCGTCTCGTACTCGCCGCTGTAATGGCCGGTTACAAGTCTCGAGTCGCTGTGAGCTTTGATCTCGCTTGCGCTGACGCCAGTCGCGAGCTGAAGCTCGGCTGTTGGAGCTGAATTTAGCAACCCTAAATCTGGCCCACTCAAGCCCAAATGACAGATCCAGACTAAGCCAAATTGACTGGGCTTTGACACTACGGCCCAGGCCCATTCAACTTTCAACGATCCAATCCTGAACAACCAGGCGTTCCGTTCGACGAGGTCGAGCTCCAGCTCGATCAAATCCCGAGAAACAAGGAAGGATCCGAGCCAAGTCAGAGCATATTCTCGCCAGTTCAAACGAGTCCGAAGATCGCGAAGGAAGCTGCTGAACGTGGCGAGATTTTCGGCTAAAGCTGCTGCACGTGGCCGAGATACGCGTCGGAGTTCGGAGCTCGACGAAGCGAGCTATATAAAGAAAGGGAACGGCTTAGTTTAGGAGACCTTCGGCTTGATCTTCTTTTACACTTTTTAAACCCAAAAACTCTGTAACTACTCTTTTCAGTTCATCTTCTTCATTGAAATCCTTGTAACCGTTTCATTCGACCGATTAATAAGTCCTTATTTCAGTTAGTGCTAGCTTATATTGCCAATCTGTTCGAGAGAATCTAGTACTTAATCTTCTAAAGTTCTTTCTTTATAAAAACACATAAATTTCTGAGTGTCGATTTCGGTATCCACATTTTGGCGCCGACTAAGGGGAAAGATAAATTTCTCTTACTCAAGAGCAGATCCTAAGCCAGCTGAAACCAAAATAGATTCAACTCAACAAACCTCGGGACACGCCTCACCGATTCTGATCTCTCCAGATCAAGTTACTCTGACCGGCAACGTCAGCCAGACAGCCGGCGGAAATGAACCCAGGGTTACGACCCTCGTCGACACCACTGGCACAAACTCCAACGTTGCCAGCCGAATGGAACCGATCGTGATCAACCTCGTCACCCCCACCGGGAACGACGAGCAATCAATCAC